ATTCATTGGAAAATTCCATCGAGAGACAAATTTCTAAACAAATCCGTAAAAGCTAAATTATAGGAACGTATTTTAGTTTTGTTTATTAGAATACACTGCCAGTCTATAAAAGTTCTTATCTGGCTTTTTATTTTCGCAACCGTTGGCTGCAGACATGGGCTTTCAGTTATAAGAATGAATTAAGATAGGAAAATTTTCATGCTAATTGTTTCTTTAAATTTAAAAAAAAAACAGACAAGTTTTGTAAAAATTACAAAATCCATTTTTTTACTTTCCCTGACCCTCATAATTATATTTGCAAAAGTTTATACTAATTCTAAAAAATGAAACCCAAAGTGTTTGACAAAAATTTACAGAGGTATTTTGTTTCAATTTTTTAGATTATCCAGTGTCGAAAATTCGCATAAATGTTCTTGAGGTACTGACCTCAAAATAAATTAGTGCATCTCGAGATTCATGTTTTTTAGTGACATTCAGTGATATTCCTTCACGATTTATTAAAATGTAACGTTCTTTAATTTATAATTTTATTGTGATTCATGTGTGGAAATCATGTACTTTATAGTTTTTGAATGCTGAAAATATGTTAACATTATTCAGATGCAGTTTTATTACGTACTTTAGGATCATAATCTAATTGTAATATAAAAAAACTTCATTCGCAGAAGAATATTTTTTCATTTTTAATTTAGGTAAATAAAAAATGGATGGCTTATAGGTATTCTTATATACCTATGAGCCAATGTTTGAAATTTGCCACTGTTTTCTTGACAGTGAATTCTCTAAGAAGATTATGTGAATAAGATCTCCTATTTGATAAAAATTGCATCGATTAAAATTTTTAACGAAAGCTCGTTATTTAATCTATTAACACGAAAAATCTTTTCCTAAACTGACTTCCTTTTCATTTATATATGAATTTAAATATTTTACTCCTGAAAATTTTCGGAACATGATATCAAACCTTAAAATTCAATAGCTTGGCCAATTATTATCGTATGAAAGTCAAGCATTTTATGTTTCATTATTTAAAAGAAGTAAAAAAGTTTGCCAACTATAACTATAGAGACTGAAGGGAAGTATAAAATGTTAAACTTTGTAATTTTTATAAAATTAATTTTTTTTTAGTTTGAAATAGGCCAAAGTATATTTGCCTTAATTAGAAAAGTTTTATAACTGAAATTATATATCTATAATCAATTGCGAAAATGAGCTAGTATAATATGCACTAATTGTGTTATTGAAAACTTATATACGTCACTTTTAACGTAAATACATGGTTTGAATTGCTTAAACATTTGAATGTGATTTCTCCTTACTGTGATAATATAGCTTTAGAAAAAAAATCTAATCATAATAAGCGGCGGAAATATATACGGAATTCTAATAATGATATTTTGTAATTACAATCAAAATAGATCTAGAAATAATCAAACCGAAGACTTTGTGCTTAGAAAAAAATCCACCTTGCATTTACCGTGCAGTATGAGATATGCCCTGAGCTGTTTTTTGCATAAACTAGTCTTATACTGTTCTGGTGGCTTGTTTTAAAGTTTATTTCATAATTATTGGATGTAATTAATTTTAAGAAGAGAAAGTAAATGATAGGGAGAATACCTTTGATTTATCGAAATTAAAAAAAAAAAAATAAATAAGCCCTTTTAAACTAACATAAGGAAATTTCTTATTTATGAATAAAATGCATTGCTACGTATCCCGCAAAAGCTTCTGCATAGGTTTCGTTTAATTCTTCCCTGTTAACAAGACCTACGGGCTATATGAACATAATGTGTAAGTTTGAGAGGCTTTTAAAAATAAATCTAGGCGATATGTTGTTAATAACAACTCAGTACACCACAGGAAATAGAGCGTAAGGCAAACAACGCATGCTGATATGAAATTCAAAATTAAGCGAAATTCAGCTTTAGACTGTGCATTAAAATTCTTATGTCTTTGTGGGACATAGAACGTGTGATCTATTTTCATGAAGGAAACAAGAAAAGCAACCCAAAATGCTCTCGAATTTGTTTCTGCTTATTTCTCTGCAGCTTACAGGTGTCTGCCGGAAAACATCGCGACAACAACATCATGGAAGGAAACGTCGCGGATAAAACAACGTAAGCGGAAGACATCATCGTAGAAAACATCGGGGGAGGGAGAGCGAGGAGAAAATGTCGCCGTTTTAAACATCGTTATGTACAGATAGAAACGCCGCCAAAAAAGAAAGGAAGAAAGCGATACAGAATTCTTGGAGTTTTAAAATATCGTAACACAAAATAACAAAACATCGCATGTTCGTAGACATAGGTTTTCAGACATTAAACTTTTTCAATGAAAGTTCGTACTACCAAGCCATCTTTATAAAAGACATTACTATTAGACCAACTTTATAAAAAAGATTCATTAAAAACTACCTTTAACGTTTAAAAACATATGTTTAAAATTATATTAGTAACTCTATATAGCATTAAGGTTCTACTCATTTTCAGTTTCTGAATGCTTTTCTTGTTTTTTTTTCAGCAAATATTTTACAGTTACTATAAAAATATGAAATATAAAGGTAAAAGATCCATCACTTCTTCTTACTCGCAAATCACTACGCGAAATTTTGCATGAAACTTTTATACTCCGAAGATGCATTGTCTGCGATATTTTGTAGATGATTTATTTTTTACTGCGATATATTGCACGACACTGCGAAGTTTTTGCACCACCTTATTTTCTAACACAAAGTTTTAGAATTACGATGTTTATGCCTTGCCTTGATTTCTCTGCGAGGGTTTCGTCCTCATTATTTTCGACTGTAATCAATAAATTAGATAATTCGAAATTTTACCTCTTAAACACCATGCAATGATATTCTTTTTGATTTACTAGCATGTATAACTTATTTAACTTAGAATTGTGTTACATTTGGTGCAACAAAAGAATTTTCACACAAAATATTTATGTTTGCAAAGTCTAAAAATAAATTATTCATATTCTCATGAAGTTATATTGCTTTGAAATCATAAACTACTTTGTTATATAATGTTATATACTGTGTATTTTTAATTAAGGGAAATAACATTATGAATTTGCTACACGCCAATACTACTGCTATTATTTTCTGGAACACTAATAAGATCTCCATTTTTAAAATACATTTGTGCATGTGTGTATATACTAGCCGCTACGTGTCCAGCCTTCTTCTGGCTTTTAAATATACCGGAAAAATGCCTAAAGTGAACGCCAAACAATAAATGTAAAAGTTGCACAGAATTTTACTCTTCAGAACAACTTTATAAAAACAATAATCACAAATTTTAATAAAGATGTATTACATGTAAAAACACTACAATGAAATAAGCAATATTCTTCAACACAAACATTAATTACTCTAATTCATAAATTAACCAACTTACAGTTACCTTCTCTCGACAAACGCCCACCAGCGGCCGAGCGGTAAAGTCGCTAAACACTGGTAGTTCGGTCCGAGGTTTGAATCCCGCGAACGGGCTGGCTGCATGGGTGTTTTCGTGGTTTTCCCCATGTGTAACGTGTATACGAGCCAGTTTCCTTTAGAAAGTCCTCCACGAAGGCATCCCTCCCGTTAGGCAGATAGCCCTAGTGTGCTTTGCCATAATTAAATACACCAACACCAACCAATCTCTCGACAAACGTCCCAGTATCCAAGAGAAACATTAAATTTAAAAACTGCACAGACTTATCGCCCTCGTTTTTCCGAGTAGCGACAATGCTGATATCAGCAACAACGACAACAGTGAGATATCAGCAACAATAGCTGCGTGCCATTGTCACTGATATAATGAGAGAGAATTATCGATTTGATGCCATTTCATCAAAAAGCATAAAATAAAAAGAAACTCATTCGAATTTTGAAAAATTTGCTTCGAGGTACACTGGCTCTTGTCTAGATGCACCTGTGCAGGGCTACTAAATTTCGTAACCTTGATCTATTAGCTTACGCGCAGCACGAACGAAAGACAGACTGACTCTTCCTTTTATTATATGTAGAGATAAATATATTGACGAATACTTTTCTCAATAATCTGCATAGAAATGCTGGTCATTTAATCTCTTTAACATTTGAAACCTTTCTATAAACTAATATTACTTTTTCTTTTTTTATTAAAGTTTCGCTCTTCAGTTTAAGTGCGGTCCCAAAATATGATTTCTGACTTTGAAATAAAATATGCCGAGGGATTTTTTGCCGCACTTTTTATGTTTTATTTTTAATAAAGAGTATGAAAGTTTCCTAAATTTAAGTACAGTGGCCAGAGGAAAGTTTAAAAAGTAAGATTTAATAATTTTTATAAAATTCTAGATTTAAAATGCTGTTTTTAAACTAAAAAGACCCAAACAGGAATACATGCTTCATTTAAAACACTTTTGTGACTGGAAGTACAAGTATACGAAAAAACGTTGCGAAAATAAAGATCAAGTAAGGATCTCTGTGGGCATCGTGTATAATTAACTTATATTATGTAATCACATGATTTTATAGGCAGGCATAAAGTTCCTTAACTATCTATAATAATCGTACATATATTTCTGCGATGTGATAGGCAGACAAGTAGGCATATAATGGCATAAGTATAGGGTTATTATTAATAATAACAACGCCTTTTAGTGAATGTAATAAATAAGGCACAATAATCACACTTACTGGTAAATATTAATAATTACTAAAGGAGTTTGTTCATTGTGATTAATTAAGCATAACAGATTGAAATTCCGAACTCTAATGCAATTTTAATGTCATGCTGCACGAAATATATGAAATTGCATTAACAGTTTTATTAGGAATGGAATTTGGCTAGCATAAGAAAAATGTTTTATGATAAGGATTACTTTTCTTTATAAGATACATTCTTTATTCATTACCTGAAACAAATTACATTGCAAAAAATCACCATAAGAAGGTAAAACAGTTCCAAACAAAATTACATTGCAAATGCAGTATTATTGTATATTAAACAAATTATTTATTTTTTCAGGGACAGCTTCTATGGCATTTGGCTTTTGACTTTTCACATTTACAGCGAGTTCAGTTACAGTCGCTTGTACAATTGCAGTATTGAAGTCCTTAACCTTCTAAATTAGAAGATGAATTAAAGATGTGACTGAAAAGATATATCAAGATTATGTGTTGAACTCGGCGCTTTTTTCTGCAACTCCACTATTTTATCTAGGCAAAAGTTTCAAGCTATTCTCAAATATCAAGTTACCTACAACGAAATAAATAGTCAAATCATCATATATATATATAAATATATATGTGTGCGTACATGTGTGCTTATGTATGTCCATATATCCATTAAATATCTGAAAACGGGCTAATCTAGAAAATAAATATATAAAAAATGCTAACTATTTCTAAACGTGTTTCCTTCGTTTTTTATCAATTCAAAGTACCCGATTAATAAATTTAAATGTCTTTATTAGAAATATTTTTTAAAGTGCATGCTTTTCATCTTTTGCACATTTTGTTAACATATTTCTGAGTAACAACCAACTGCATTGCCTACCTTTCGCTGAACTGCAAGGCTACATGAAATCAACCATAATAATATGTTCTAACAAGGTTTCAATATTTTTTTTATTTTTTATTGTTGTTCAACTGTTAATTCGTTTTCAGGCATTTCATTACAATCGTCAATATCTAAGTGGTCCTTGCGTTCTTCATAAATCGGTTGTTCATGTATGTTAGTTATGTTCCGCGCGTACGGGTTCGTAATAGATTGAATGTACACAGAACCGGTGATAGCTTGACAATTTTTTTTTTAAACCAAAAGAATGGCTTAATATGTAGTTCTGGGACTTTCCACACAAAATACTCACAGAGCTCTTCTCAGTTTCCCAGAGTATAATCAGAGTTACATTTCAAACTACTAAAAATGTTAAACACAGCGTCTAAAATGCGAAGCTCGCACGAAGATGTCTACTGTGAACTGAAAAAATGAGAGCAGACGCTTCCTCCACTTTTATATAGTTTTCATTCGGCGGCCGAGAAATCTCTAATACCTTACATATCTCAAAATTAATGCAAGGCATATACGGTTAAAGTTACATCTAAGGTCAGGATACGGTTACCATGACATATACGGCTCATATAGAGTATCAATTACAGTTATATATGGGTCCGGTCCAAGTAAGTAGTAGTGGTGGTAGCCAAGTTTGGCTACCATTTGACGACTTCTCGCCACATTTGGCGCTAAAAATTAGTGGCCAAATCCATCGCCAGCTTGGCGATATCTAGCCAATTTAGCAAGACAGCAATCTACCTCAATGTTATAAACTTGATCCTAAAAGTAATTTTATGCTCTAATGTTTTAGAATTGATTTTTAGTTTGCTTTGTTAAACTTTAGTTTGTTTGGAAATTTGTTCATCGGATCAGAGTGAATCCGGACTGATCGAAGCCAGATTATACGAGGTTTGTACACACACACACACATGCATATATATGTATCTTAGGGTGAAGTTTATACATACACGCATACATATATATATATGTATGAATGTATGTATATATGAGTGTGTGGCTCTCATGCATACATTTTAAATTTTCTTGTTTTACAACTGGTTTCCTGAGAACTCACTCTTAAATAAAATTATGCAACTAAACGTAGTAGCTCATTCTAAGTAAATTAAATTAACATAAATTCCTTTGAGAACAAGAATTCTTCTTCTTACATATATGGTGCAGTGATAGTAAGTTAGAAAAATGAGCAGAATTAAATCAGTAATTGTTTTTTAAATAGAAAATTTGCTCTTTATTTGAAATACCTTTAAATATTTCAGACAGACATTTTCCTGAATTTCTGTGAGAGGAAATGTTTCTTTTAAGATTATATTGCAACAAGTAAGAAATAATTTCAGTTTTATAATGACCTCAAAGTTTGCATAATAGCTTTACTTCCGACTGATTACGTTTATATCAGTTATAGGAGTCGGTCTAACCTCTTCTGAAAATATTAAAGTGTTATTTTAAAGTACAAAGGAATGAGATGGTGCTTGAATTCGCAAAAGAGTTAAAGAGTACATTTTCTAATGCTTTCTTCTAATGCTTTCTTTACTCTAGAAAGTTTTCTTTGTAGCCAAATATCGAGCATAATATGATGGGTCAGTGTAATACAAAATAATATTCCACCATTAATTTGACAGAAAACTCATTTTGTGTCAGGTTCTAAATAAAACTGTATCGATTTCGGAGATCGACATAGGTCTCTCTTCTATAGAAGCAAAAACACCTTCGTATTCGTTTTCCTTTATATTTAAAAATGTGCTAAATGAATTTAACAATGTCTATAGTTTCCTTCCCATAGTAAATTAACTATGAAAAGAAAATTATAGACATTGTACCTCAAGTGATTTTAAATGTCCATTTAGCGGATGTATGTCCAAATTGCATTTCCTTCAACTATTTCTTTCTCTTTTGTAATAATAGCAAATCAGCAGAAACAAACTACCATTATTACTTTAAGTCTGTTGCATTGTAAAATTCAGGCTAGAATTTAATGCCGGAAGAATCCTTCACTGCGCTGAGTGTTTTCTTTTAAATACATAACCGAACAAATGCGCGCAACATAAATAATAAACACAACGTGATCATCGAGATGTAATTCTGAATGAGATAACCTTCTTAGAAAATTCCAGACGTGTTAATAAGTCACTTTTGGACTGGCAGCTTAGCCGAAACAATAAGCGATTTCATAAAGTCAAGGAAACAAAAACATTTCGTCAAATTATAGAAAATCATCACATTGTCTGCAAACGATGTGACGACTTGTCGATTCCCCTCCTTCCCCTCCCCGCCTTCTTCGTGTTCTAAGGTTATCTTAAGTAACTCTGCAAGAGCAGCTTCTCTAAACTGTATTAGTATTTCTGTTTTGCCACCTTGGCACTTGAGTGTAAATCATCATAATTTTTTTTTTTTCAAAAAACCATTGGTTAAAGTAGTAAACTGTGGCGATTAGGCTTTCTTTAAAGAAGTCCAGTCGACAGGTGCTTTGTTATTGAATGGACAATTGGCCGTTTTTCATTCAGATCTGAATGCTTATACTCTTTTGTTTAAAGAACCAAATCATGCCTTATTTCGGCTATCTGTCATCGTCTGGTAGATGTTGTAGAAATAATGTTTTAAAAAGAAATGCGACAAAACTATTTTCTTCTAAGATCACGAAATATCTTTCAGCAACACCTTGCTATAAATTCTTCCAGAAATAGAAGCTAAAAAATGATCTCGTGTGCTTAAAATATGTACGTGTATAAACTGAAATAACTGGACTTCTAGAAATAGAACTCGGTAACTATTCTTTCATACTTCTTCATTCATGAAAATGTCTCTACCTTTTCAAATTTGTTTTGAATTAATAAACTCTTCTTTCCCTTTCAGAAAGTAATAAAATGATAAATGGAACAGTTTTGGATAATTTTCTAATAGTTACCAACTATTGACAATTAGTTTTAATGAAATTTAAGTTAGCAATTAGTATCTAAAACATTGTTGAACGCTTGCTTTAAAATTGTAAATATAAAAAGTAAGCAGACTTGAGTATGTAGAGCATTTAGTGTTTTATATTTTTAGAAACTCTTAGTTTTTTTTCGATGAAAATACAATAAGCTTTCTTTTGATTTGAACCATGGATCTCCCTGTGCTAAATGAATGTGCTTAACATTTTACAGTAAGAGCTCGCCACGGATGCAATAATTCCTTACGGATTAAACAATTTTTAGAGTACTATTTTCAATAAAAGTTTCTGGATATAAAAAACTTACCAAATTGCCAATTATATATATAATATATATATATATATATATATATAAATTATATTACTGTAAATGTAATTTATAGTAATATGATTTATTAGTTTATATTTAAGGATCGATTGTGACGAATCGTTCCCAGATTATTGTGCGTTTGCTAAAGGAAAATTATTTCCCTTGAAAGTAAGTTCGTCTTTGAGAAATGCACAATAATTTAATTATAATTTTGTTATTTTGTTTCTGTTGTATAAATTTCTTAACATTTCTGCGTCCTTTGTATAATTTTAATATATCATACATTTGATCAGGCAAACGTTAATACCATTTTTAATGGTTACTATTCATCAGTTCAATTTGACTTAGATTTCACAATTCTAAATTAGTTGAGTTGCATATTAATTTATCTTTTCTGTGTTACAATGATATTGAAACAGCGTTCTTAGAAGATAATAAATAAATGCTAATACTATGTATATGTACATATATATATGTAGACAGAGAAATTTCAAAATTAAGATTATAAATGAATTAATTCGCTTAGTACGCTTCGAAATTAATTAAATATTTAGGGTATAATAATTAAATCAAAAATGGTGCTGAACAGTGTAATAAGAAGAATAATTTCAACTGCTTCAATTTTCATCTAGCTTTTCCTGTTAGACTGTAATTAATTTATCTTTATATATATATATATATATAAGTTAATAATTATATTTCTGTTGTCTCATTTAATGCATAGCAGCAAATACGTACAAAACGTTTAAGAAAAACAGTCTACCCTTTCCTATCATTTCAATATAAGTAATTTGTGTAGCACTGGAAATCAAAAAAGGTGATAAAAACAGATAGTTTCATAATAAATTTTTATTGTTTCGATCTATGTACTTATTTTTAGCAAAATTCTTAAAATCTTCCGTTTAGTGTGTAATTTTTGTTTCAGAGTGTATACTCTCTTCTTTGCCGCTGCGTTTGACTACACCTCTGCATCAAAATACTGACAGCTTGTGACAGATGCAGGTAGCGCCGCATCAAAATATTTTTTTGCTTGCAAACGCATTATGCAAAAGATTCTATTCCAATGTGATTCAGACTCCGCACAAGGAAACTTGTCAAATTAAAATACTGACAGTAGATTGTCTATGCATTTGGTATAGTAGTCATAAGAAAACATTTATGAATCCCGAGACACGTAGTATTTTACATTCTTATGACAGCATCTGCAGACCAGTTTTCATCAAGATAATGCACAACGCATCCTACCGTTTTTCAAGACTTGTTGCTAAGTGCTGACGTCCTTCTAAGCCAATACGATAGCCCAACCTGTCTTTCATCAACCATGATGAGATGTGTTAAAATGTTACCAAGCTAATACCAAAATTTTGATAAGCTGGTCAGTTGTTCGGATTTGTATATAGCACTGCACACCTTAGGACATATATGTAAATTTTATTTCTATTATTCTCCGGCTAAACGCCGCAGGTATCCGATTTTGAAACTGCAATACAGAATATATTTTTCTTCAGTTTTATAGCTCATACCTCTATCAGTCTGGGATTCCAGTTATGCTAATCTTCCTCGTGC